GGTTCAATTTAATTTCGATAAGGTGCAGCGTATGGCCTACGTTTGTGTCAAGTGTTTTGTGGACATTAATGAGGAAACTTACACAGTTACACACCAGAAATCTGGCTGAGATGGTTAGCAAACCTAGCCAATTTCCCAAGCTGTTGGAATGATACGCTGTTTCAATCCCACTTTATCCTTTCAAAGTGAGCAGACTCTTTTACAGGCACTAAGACAGACTGTAGTAACAAAAAATCAGCCCTTGTTGCTTTACAGGCGTGACAATCACATTAATGAGCACCATCTGGAAGAGCAAACATCGTAACCAACAATTTTAAACTGCCAGAATCCTTCCTTCACTGCTCAGTTGCAACTAAATTTAATATCAGCCTCAGCCAATCTCATTTTTATTACTGAATTACCATAGGACTCAAGCACATCCACATATAAAAATGACAAAAATAACATTTCAATTAGTATCTTTTTGTGCTCAGATTTTTCTTTATTTCTCTCTTTTACCTGCTCTATTTACATGCATCCTTATCACTGTCCTAGTTCAGCCAAACTGATTACGAGAAACAGCAACTCCGTTACTCTGAGACTATTAAGTGAATGAAAAGGACAGAAATTCCATATGAATCACGATAGTAACAAAAGTACAATGAAACATCTTTTAGCTTTTACAGAGTGGCAGTGCAATGATGGGCTGAATGATCTCCTGTGTATAATCATTTCAGCATTCAATGATTCTAAGCCCTATCTCAAGCTTTGAAACACACTAGCCATACAGCTCAAGTTTTGGGCCACTACTGTTATTGCAGCTTGAGTTGTAGATTCAGGCATAAATATTTCAGACATTAAAAATTTTAACAAACATTTCCATTTCCAAAAGGTTGCTTTCCGTTTCAAACAACACAAAAATGGGTGGAATGCAGATTGTGAGAGGGATGCAGTTTACAGAGAGATAATGGTAGGTTACTTCATGGGCAATAAGTTGGCAAATAGAATATAATGTGGGAAAATGTGAACTTGTTCATTTAGGAAGGGAGAACAAAAGAACAGAAAATTATCTAAATAGAAAAAAACTGCAGAAAACTGCAACACAAAGGGAATTGTGTGTACTCGCGCACGAAACCTAGAACGCTAGCACAAAGGTGCAGCAGGGAATCAGGAAGGCTGATGAAATGTTGGCCCTTATTTCAAGGGGGTTAGAGTATAACACTGGGGAAGTTTTACTGCAACTGTACAATGTGCTGGTGAGCCCATATCTGTGTACATCAAAATGTATTGTGAGCAGTTTTGGTCCCCTTATTTGAGAAAAGATATCATTTTACTGGGGACAGTTCAGGGAATATTCACTAGGATCCCTAGTATGGAAGAATTGTCTTATGAGCAAAGCATAAACAGATTGGGACTCTCCTCAACAGAATGTAGAAGAATGAGAGGTGATCTCATTGAAACATATAGGATTCTTAAGGTGCTTGACAGGGTAAACGCTGAGAGGAAGTTTGTCCTCATGGGAAAGTCTAGAACCAAAGGGCACAATCTCAGAATAAAGGGGTGCCAACTTAAGACTGAGATGAAGAGGAATTTCTTATCTCGGTGTTTTGGTGAGTCTTTGCAACTCCTTGCCACAGAGAGCTGTGGGGACAGAATCCTTGTATATATTTAAGGATGAGACAGATAAATTCTTGATCAGTAGGAGAATCAAGGGTTACAGGAAAATGCAGGAAAGTGGAATAGGGGGAATGTTGGATCAGCCATGACCTTATTGAATGACAGAGCAGGCTTGAGGGGCTGAAGGTTCCTCTTTCTTATGGGCTTATTAAATAAATTAACAAGCTGACATTTCGTTGATAGCCTAGCAAGTAAAGATGCAGACCAATGCAGAATGAACCCAAACTCAATTCCTATTCTGAGCTGAAGCAGTTAATCTCAGCCAGTTCCACACTTAAAAGGTGAGAGGGTGGGGGGAGAATCAGTTGGGTTTCCTGGGACCAATTAACATGCATTTCTACAACACAATATGGAGATGAAATCATGGCTAATTTTTTATTTCCTCTATCAATTAGAATATAACAAATTGAATGACAATATTTGCTACCTTGAGGCTGCTCTGCCATTCAGTGATATAATGAGCTTATCCTCAACTTCAATTTCACATTCAAGTCCACTCCATATATCCCTTGATTTTCTCAGAACTCAAAAATCTATCCGTCTCAGTCTTGAATAAGTCAGTGACTTGCAGTGCTCTCCAGTTATCAATCTGAAAGTTTCACAATCTTCTGAATAATTTCTCATATGATTCCTAACTGAATGACCCCTTATTCAGAAACTATGCTTCCTAATTATATATTCTATGACCGGGGAAAACCACCCTCTCAGAATCTGATGTTTTATTTCTCCGGATCTCAGGTGAAGACTGAAATAATCCTGGTTTGGAGCCACCACCTCCCATGAGCAAATAACTCACTGGTGCTCATTGTTGAAGAAATGAACAAGATACTTGAGGGTGATTAACTTAAATGAAATAGACCCACCAGAAGTCACTATCATTGGGGAGATGTGAGACAAAAGTAACAACAGAACTCTCTTACTGCTGACTTGCAATGGATATAGGAATATTGAATTTCTAAGGTTTCATCAAGTGAAAGGATATGTCATGAAGTCTTACAAACATGACTGAACTCTTCAAAGGTATTACCATGTTGATGAACATAGGTGGCCTGATAGACATTGAAGTTTAGACTCTCAAAACACTTCTGATGCCTCACGATAGGCTACAATAGACAGCCCTCCAGATTTTGAATCAGATTCTGGGTTTGTTAGGAAATTGATAACATTTTCATTGACAGAGTTTTCATTCATGGCAAAGGATTTGTGTGAAGACCAGTTAGTAATGAAGTCCTGTAGCAAACAGCATTGACTGTTACCCCTCAAAATGCATCAGTGATATGGATGATATGGTGGGGTTCTTCTGCCAGTTTGCAGATGACATGAAGATCTGTGCTTATATTAGAATATTTAAGAAAAATGCAACCAACGACCTGCAGCAGTGTCTGGAGGAGCAAAGGAAGAGGAGCAGGAGGTATGAGACCAGGCCCATGGTTCCAGCTCGAATGTGGCAATTTCGGGATTGGTGGTGACGGCGGAGATGGGCTATAACCAAGACTCTGGAATCCTTTTACAGAGACACAGGCTAATGTTAAGCAGCAAACAGGGGAGTAGCAAAGGGTAATGAGAAGAAGAGGCAAAGATGAGCTCTGTTGCAATAGAATCTCACATTACATTCAGTGTTACAAGATGACGGAGCACAGCGACACTTTGTGTTTTGCACATGAACAAGCACTTTTCACTGTATTTTTATATACATGTGACAATAAATCGGAATCTAAGCTAATCTATTCAAAATGACCGGGTTGTAATGGAAAGAGAGGGCTAAATCTGGCACATGACATTTGGTGCTGATATACTGCATTAAATGTTGGATATAGGAAGCTGGATGTTGTGGTAAGAGTATGTAAAGAGGATGGCTAAAACAAATAAGATGTTTGGCACAGAAGATTATAATGCTGAACAGAGAATACTGTAATGTCCCAAAATAAGACCTCAGCTAAGCTTAGTCTACCCACATAATGGGTGATATAGATGCATTTAGGATAGGAAACCTATATTAATATCAAATCTAAAAGTCCATAACTATTATTGGATCTCTTTACTTTAGAAAAGTGTAAGGAAACTTGGCAGAATTATTTAAAATAATAAAGGAATTCAAGATTATGCACACATTAATAGATTATTATTTATATAAATTAGGGAAAATGAGAGAATATGGATACAAGCTATGTTAGAATTAGGTTAGATGCCTGAACGATTGTTGGCCTTTGGAATAGATCATTACCATATCCAGTAATTGCAAACTTACTGGACAAATTCCTGGATGTTGTCAATGTTGTATATAAAAGTTAAGTGAAATGTACCTAATGGTCATCATTAGTTCCAAGAACTTGCTCTTTATCACCTTTGGGACGGGGGTATGAGGGCACATGAACAGTTTCCAAGGATTCTTTACCTGATTTGGGCTACAGTTTCTTTTAATTTGTTTTCTGCCTTTCCCACAAGGTCTCGCAACATTTTAGAAGGCTGGAGTACTGCAAGCTTTGTCAATTAGTTGCAATGAGGCTGAATGGGAAAGAAGTCATGAATCAACTGATCTTTTTCAATCTGTCACTTTGTATACTTGTACATTTGAACTCGTGCCTGTGCAACCGTGCAGTAGCAAAGAAATATCAGTGGATAGGCAAAAATTGGCAAGACACGACAGTAAAAATTACACATAATTTAGCAGAAAGAGAATTATTTTCTTAACCTATCTTAAAGGTTACATAACATTGCCTAATTATAGAAAACGTATTTCATTTGTGCACAATATGTAAAATAACCATTATTCCATGCAGGTTACCTACAGTGAGACAATTAACACTACAACAATATTTAAGCTATAACAATACACAGATTGCTGCTGACATGCCCTTGGACTAAACCAGAATATTGTTTAAAATGTAACTTAAGGTATTCTGAAGTTATTAAATACACAAATTCTCTTAACAGGTGTGCCTAACAGGAAGTTAGATAAACATGAATGGAAAAGGAATAGAAGAGTATGTTGATAAGAGTCTGATGGAGTACAGTGTAATGAAGCTTGTGAGGGGCTCAAATCTATTGTGCTGAATAGCCTATTTCTGTGCTGTAAATTTTATTTAAATATAATGCATACACTCCTTTAAGAAATGTTATATGTTATATGTTCATTGTAATCTTCGCAGGTTCCAGATGATTAGCATTGTTCCACAGTTAATGGCCAGCTGACTGCAATATACAATATCACACAAAAAGGAATTTCCAGGTAAAATACCTTCTTCCTCCACAGAGTAGTGAAGATGGAAGTCAAATCTTAACCCATACAGATGGTCACATTTATACAAATAAACACTTACATTCAAACACCATTTGTACAAAGGTCAGTGTATAAAGCAGCATTATTTATTCTGTATCTGTTGGGTTCACATGATAGTGAATTACAAATTGTACAGGACCGAGGTGCACAGCACTTAAATTTGTCCAGCCAGGAAGCTTTATTACAGACAGCCACCAAACTGTTTCTGGATTCAAAGCAAGCCATTTTAGCATCAAAGCAGTGTAAGGAGGCCAGCATAATGAGATAAGCCTTTGTCATGTTTTCATTCTCCTGCTGGATATACAATGTAAGAGAATTCCTGAAAGAAGAAATTAAGGAAAATCAAGTCACGACAACAAAACATAACTGGGTAAACAAGAACCTGGTTACCTTTATTGTGAAAAATATTGAGCTTCAAGGTGATGTCAAATTGGATGGAATCTAGTGAAATAGAGTGAACGGGTGGCCCGCTTCTCCAAGTATTGAGGTAACTACAACCACAACCCTGAGCTTCAGGTTACCTAGGCAATCTAAACATATCTACTTATACTAACGTGTTCCATATGTTTCATAAATAATAACTATCTGTTGCAAGTTTTGTGAACAGAAGTTGTGAATTAATTTCCACTACTCAAACTAAAAAACTCCAAATATAAAATATGTAATTCCAGAAAGCTGCAAATAAATTGTAATGCCTAAATTAGCATAACACGTGAGCTACCAGGCAAACATTCACGTTAGTCAAATGATTAAAGGAATTAATGTGTGCCTCTGATATAATGTGCACATCAGCAAAGAATGTTTCATATTAATTCTGAATTAAACTGCAATTTACACCTTTCACAATGCACATTTGGCAATGTTCAGAATCCTTCCAAAAATTATTCAATGTGAAGTATATGCCCAAAGGTCTTCTATTTACTCTTTATAACATTTGGTTTTTATTGTGCACAATTGTTTTTTCTGATTAGGAAAAAAAAAAGACACCGAATGCAACTGTCTAAATTGGTGTGGAATTTTTTTGCTAACAATTACCTGCAGCAACAGATACATTCAAGGATTCAATCCCAGGTTGCAAGCCTCTACCTGCTGGTATCGTCAGCATTGCATGACACAGGCTGCTTACATCATCAGAAAGGCCAAAACCTTCATTTCCTGGAGTTCAGGGGAAAAAAAAAGGTTTGCATATGTAAAATTAACTGCAACAAACTCAATGTTAAATGCAAAGCAAAAACTAGTGGTTGTGATGGTGTATAAACAGCTATGACAATTTGGTTGCTTGCCAAAATCAGTATTACTACTCCTGCCTTTCTGAAATCATTATCTGCAGTTTGCAAATCCCAATCATATTGACGACTAAATTTAAATCTGGTCAACACTGATGTCCAGTGACGAAAGTACTCTGTGCTTCGACACGCACTCTGTTCCCTTGCAGCTCATTTCAAAATGTTAAGTGAGTGTAGGCAAGAGTGTGAGTACAATATTAAAGGCTTCAAAAATAAAGGCTAGTAAATGGCTGTGACATTTTAACTGAAGTTGTGCTGCAGTCACTGTTAGATCCACGCATTTGGACATCAAATTGGAAACCAAATCACAACCTAAAATGCTGCTTTTGGTTGATGTGCAATTATCATAATGTTGGCTCAAACATTCTAGGGAGTATTGTGCTCAGACAACTAAAGAGCAGAACAATTTGCGTACATCAAACAACTTAGGTCAAAAATACCACAGCCAGCTGCAGAGTAAAGCTCCCTTTACTCATCTCCATTTGTTTATACTTCAGAAGCAAATTGCTGCAGTCAGTTCCAATCTCTTCCCTGCAATATTTTATATCAGCACAAGAATAAACATAAAAGAAATCTAAAATTATTTACATTTCAACATTGCTTTCCATATCTGCAGGACAGTTCAAAGCACCCCAAAAACCACTTAATTACATTTGTAGTATAGTTGTACTGTAGACAATGGCAGTAGTTACATTCCACAAAGTAAGGTCCCAGAAAAGTTGGAGATAAAGGTCCAGATAATCTTTTCTGGTGGTTTTGGTTGAAGCACAGATGCTGGCAAAGACATCTGGAGAACTCCCCTGCTGGTCCCTGAACAATAGAGTGGGATCTTACACTATACTTATAAGATTTCACTAGGCAGATAATCGATTGGTTTAATGTTTAATCCAAAATACAGCAGCTCTAAGCATTTAGCACTCCCTCAGTACTGTCAGCCTAGATTTTGAGCTCAAGTCATTTGAGGAAATAATGACATTAAATCAAAGCACAGACAGCTATGACAAGCCAGTTTTATAAAACTGTGCATAGAATCGGTGTAAATAGAAAGCAACTGCGAACGTGAGAATTAGGAGCAGGAGCGGCCCACTTGGCTCCTCTAAACTGCACCACCTCTCACAAGATCATGGCTGATCTGACTATTGTCTTAACTTGACTTTCCTGCTTGTCCCCATAACCTTTGTCAATCACAAATGGCACATTTTTGTAGGAGCATCACTTTTAACAAGGCATAAATTGTTCATATAACTTGAACAAAGAAGTACTTCATGTAAGTTTTCACAGAGTAATCCTCCACAAAACAGCATCGCTTCATCTGGTTTGAATATAGAGTCTAAGCATCCAATTTATTGCTATAAAATTTTAAATACAACTTCTGTCCAACACTTGCAAATTAAGCTGCATTTTACGCTACCCAGAACCAGGATGGTTCGTTGACTCCACTGGAACTCTGTACAAGGAATGACTGGTATAAAGCTGGCTTCGGTAGACTTTCCAACTGTTCCCACTATTTGCCAGCCTTGGGCTCCTTTTGCCTGTATAAGTTTAAGAAAACAGCAGGGCTGTTATGAAATTATTTTGAAACACTCCAAAGGTAATGTCATAATGTTCAAAATCTAAATTTCTGTTACCTTTAGTACTTGAGGTAAACTAGAAGTGCAATATACAGTCATAACTTCTAGAACTCCAGCACTAGCTTTGCTCACAGTTGGAGTTAGAGAACAACTGAAAGACAGTACAAAGCAAACATTTGCAAAATAAGCATAAATATGCAATGTCTCTCAAGACACTGAATCTCCATTTACCGCAGATATATAATTCACATTGGAAATATCCTGCTATTGTCAGCTGTGGTTCTATTGTTTGTACTCTTACCACTAATTCAGAACGTTGTGGATTCAAGTCCCACTCCAGGATCTGTGTGCAAAAATTAAAACTGGTATATGAGTCCAGTACTGGGTTGAACATTTAAGACAGAAATGAGGAGAAATTTCTTCTCCTAGAGTAGTGACACTGTGGAATAGTTTATTGCAGAGGACTAACAAGGCTGGATCAATAAGTATATCAAAGCTGTGCTGGACAGATTTTTAATCAGTAAGGGAATCAAGGGTTATAGGGGAAAGGCAGGAAAGTGGAGTTCAGGATTTTCAGATCAGCCGTGATCTCACTGAATGGCAGAGCAGACTCGATGGGCTGAATGGCCTACTTCTGCTCCTACATCTTATTGTTTTATAGTCTAATGAGGGAGTGCTGCATTGTTGAAAGTTTTGAGTTCAGATGAGACATTAAATTCAGGCCAAATTCTGGTAGACAAGTAAGATCTGTCTTTCTGGTAGACATAAAAGATTTCATGGCACTATTTAATAAGAAATGAAGTTATCCATGCAATCCTGGTAAATTCTTATCCTTCAACTAACATCATAGCAATAGATTATATAGCCATGATCAATTTCCGGTTTGTGGGTGCGTTTGCTGTATGGAAATCGGCTGCTGCATTTCCTTTGTTACAGCAGTGACTACATGTTTATAAACTACTTTATTATCCATAAAATGCATGGGGGCTTCGTGTGATCATGAAGGACTCTATATAAAACTAAACCTTTCTGTTCGTATTTTGATTTCCAAGAATTGATAGCCCAGTGTATTGTCTCCATAATACCTTGCCTGCCTGCGCTTAATGGATAATGCTCATGTAAGCGCAGCACCTTCTTGGGTGCTGTGTTAAAGTTGTAATGCAGTAGCTAATTTTTGTAACAAGATCTTGGAGTAGATCAGTTTTGTTTGTAACTCTTAGCACTACAGGTTACTGTTACAGACTTGACATTAATAAATAGTGTTGTTTACAACATCAGAATGCTGAAAAATGTTCCAGAGCTAATGATTTGCTTTTTGAAAAGCAGCACGAGAACAGGGGAGTGTCCATTAATCGTACTGGAGCTGGGGGGGGGTGGGGCATCATTTCTGGAGCGGCGAGCTGATGCGCAGAGGCTGGGGGGGCCTCTGAAAGGAGTCTGAGGCTCAGTCCGACAACCACTTAGTTTGGGGTGCAAGAAAAAAGTCAAAGCATGACATCACAGAGAAATATTACGTGATTGATAGGTGAATATTTTGCTTACGTATGGCTCACAACTTGAGTAATTTGAGTAATTCTAGGGCTTTAGTAGTATTACTAATGTTTATTGGCAATAATCAAGCTTATTGGAAGGTGTCAGGTTTGTTCGTTATGAATTATTTATGTAAAACTTCTTAATTAATTAACTATGACATAATAAAGATGGCAGGGCAAGTGCAAGTGCAGGATGTGAGAGCTTTGGTCACTAGTATGAGTCTGGGCAGACAAATCTGCAGTAAGCGTTCGCAGCTCACAGAGCTTCAGGGCAGAGCCAGTGAGCTGGAAACTGAGCTTCAGATACTGTGACACTTCGGGAAGAGGGAAAGTTACTTGGGCATTTTATTCCAGGAGACAGTTATTCCTCCCTCCCCTCCACTTAAGATAGGGTCTTCTAATTTGGCCAGTGATCAGGGTCAAAAGGGTGTAACTACAAGAGAGGTATGTAAGGGGGATCAGGAAGATGGGAGGGAGGAACCTCAGCATTCGCAATTTTCTAGCAGTTTGAGGTCCTTGCAGCTTGCATATGTGAGCAAAAAGACCATGGCACAGGAAGCCATTCTAGCAGGGGTAGTAAGAAAGAAATGTAGTGGTAATAGGGGACAGCTTAATTAAGCAGAAAGATTAAGTTTTCTGTAGCAGAAAGTGAGAGTCCAGGCAGCTGTGTTGCCCTCTCAATGCTAGAGGTTGGGATATCTGCTTGGGACTGGGCAGGAACTTGCAATGGGAGAGTAAGGATCCAATGGTTGTGGACCACATTGATGCCAATGGCATAAGTAGAGGAAAGAGATTCTGAGGTAGATATAATAAATAATATTATTTATATCATAAATGTCCATTTAAACCGGGTAGGTGATTGCCTAGCGGTACTATTGCTAGACTATTAATCCAGAGACCCAGGTAATGTTCTGGGGACCTGGGTTTGAATCCCACCATGGCAGATGGTAGAATCTGAATTCAATGATAGTCTGGAATTAAGAGTCTAATGATCACCATGAAAACCCATATGATTCACTAATGTCCTTTAGGGAAGGAAATCTGCCATCCTTACCTGCTCTGGATTACATGTGACTCCAGGCCCACAGCAATGTGGTTGACTCTTAACTGCCCTCTGAGCAATTAGGGATGGGCAATAAATGCTGGTCCCACCAGGGATGCCCACATCCCATGAATGATTTGTTTAAAATGCGTATGAGCTATAACTGTTACAGAAATATGGTCATAAGGTCATAAAGATTGGGAGTGAAATTTTCAAGGGCACATGACAAGTAGGAAGGACAAGGAGCTAAATTTGAAGGGATTCTGTTCATTACAGATGGCATTGGTACATTCGAGAGAAATTACCTTTGTTGAAGAGATCAGGATGTAGAATCAGTTTGCATAAAGGTGAGAAATAATAACTTTAAGAAATCACTCTTGGAGGAATGGTTTATGCCCCCACCCACCACCACCTTCACTGCAACCGCCCTATAAGACAAGGTATATAGTAAGAAGTATTATGGGGATTGTGAGAAAGGTATGGCAACAAGTTTTGGGAAATTTTAATCCACATAAAGATTGGGTTAGCCAAATTGCTGATGGTGGCCCGAGTGATGTAAATAGTGTTTTTGGGATAGTTTCTGATAGCACCTTGTTCTAGAGTCAACCAGAGATCAGTAACCAGACCAGAATGGATCAAAGATTAGTATCTGAAACAGGGGCAATTATGAAGGAATAAAGACAGGAGTGTCTAAAGTGAATTGGCAACTAGATTAAGTGATAGGCCAGAAGAGATACAGTGACACACATTCAATAAGTTATTTCAGAATACGTAGAAAATGTACATTCCAGTGAAAAAAAATGCGGATTCTTTTAGGAAGGATGCACTAGTTTTGGTGAACTAAGGAAGTAAAAAGTAATACCAGACTGATAGAAAAAGCATTTAATTCTGGAAAGGGGTGCGGCAGTTCAGAATATAGCAAACAAAGCATGACTATAAGATTAATAAGGAAAAAGAAAATAGAGTATAGAAGAAAACTAGCTAGAAATAGAACAATGGGTAATCAGAGATTCAATAGGAAAAATTGGAAGGAAAGTGAGCACTGGTCCTTTCAAGAATGAGTCTGAGGAATTAACTAAAATAGGAAAATAGCAGATGAAGTAAGCATTTATCTTCTGTCTGTCTTCATTGTGGAACATACAAATGACATCCCAAAAATAACTGACTCAAAATGTAAAAGGCAGTGAGGAACTTAAAACAATTACAATTACTAGGCAAAGGGTGCTGAGAAAATTAGAACTAAAATCTGACACGTGACCTGACCCTGACGGATTTCATCCCAGGATTTTAAAAGAGGCTGCTGAGGTAGTAGATGTTAACGTTCTGAGGAAGGGTCACCACACCCAAAACGTTAACTCTGTTTTCTCCTTCACAGATGCTGCCAGACCTGCTGAGCTTTTCCAGCAACTTTGTTTTTGTTCCTGACTTACAGCATCCGCAGTTCTTTTGGTTTTTATTGAGGTAGTAGATGTGTTGGCTTTAATTCTTCTGGATTCTATAAAATGTCCCCTCTGATTTGAAAAGAGCAAACGTGACTCATCTGTTCAAGAAAGAAGGGAGACAAGAAACTGTTGGCTCGCTAACCTAACATCTGTCAAAGGAAAAATGTTGGCATCTGTTAAAAAAAAGGTGATAGCAGCGTACTTAGAAAATCTTAATGCAATAAAGCAGAGTTAACATGATGTTGTGAAAGGGAAATCCCGTTTCGCTAATTTGAGTTTTTTGAGAAAGCTACAAGCAATATAGATAAAAGGGAACCAGTGAATCAACTGTAGTTAGCTTTCCAGAAAACATTTGACAAGGTGCAGCATCAAAGGCTCCTACACAAAACAAAAGCTCATGGTATATGAAATAAAATATTAGCAAGAATAGATGAATGCTTGGCTAACAGAAAGCAGAGGGTGAGCAAAAATGGGTCATTTTCAAGTTGGCAAAATGCAGTGAGTGGAGTACCACAGTGATCATTGCTGGAGCCTCAACTACATACAGTCTTTATCAAAAGCTTGGACGAAGGAACCAAATGTACAATAGCTAAACTTGGTGATGACATAAAGAACGGTAGGGGAGTGAGTTGCAGAGAGTCTACTAAGGGATATAGTTAGTGAGTGAGCAAAACTCTGGCAGGTGGTGTATAATGTGGGGAAAAGTCCATTCTGTCAGGAAGTTTAGAAGCAACATATTATTTAGATGGAGATATTGCAGAACTCTGAGATACAGAGAACTGTGTGTGTCTCGGTAAACGAATCAAGAAAAAGTTGGTATGTAAGTACAGTAAGTGATTCAGAAGGCAAATGGAACATTGTTATTTATTGCAAGGAGAAAGGAATCTCAAATTGTTGCTATAGCTGTCTATGGCACTGGTGAGACATCTGGAATATTGTGCAGAGTTTTCATCTCCTTATTTATGGAGATCAGTAAATGCATTAAAAGCAGTTCAAAGAAGGTTCATTCAACTAATTCACTGATCTTGGAGATTGGGAGTGGGGGTGTGGTTGAGGTTGTCTTACGAGGGAAGGTTGGGCAAGCTGTGCCTGCATTCTTTGCAGTTTAGACAATCAAGGGTCATTCTTACCAAAACAGGCAAGATCCTAAGGGGACTTGACAGGG